GTCGAATCAACCTTGTTCTGATTTGAACCCCTTTTTTTCGATGCGTTTAATGCGATGCAGCGGGAAGAGGGGGAAGGGGGAGGGAGGAGTGGGAAGAGCGGGAAGGAAAGCGGAGAGAAGGGCACGGAAGGGGAGGGGAAGGGTGCAGCAGGAGGAGGAGGCGGAGGAGGGAGAGGAAGAAAGACCATGCCTTTTTGTCCGAGCAGCTGACTGGAGCGCAGGTCTAGACTTGCTGCTCCAGGGCGCAAGTCCGATGCACATCCGCACTTGAAGCAAAGCTGCACCACATTCACCCGCACACATGCGCTTGCCCGTCCCTGTGGCCATCTGTATTGCTCGTGTCCTCCGTCGACTGGATACCCGTCTCCTCCCTCCTCCCCTGTCGCCTACGTCTCCCTCCTCCTCCCCCTCTACACGCACACGCGCACAGAGCGCAGCGGAATGAGTGCCGCGAGCTCCAACAATTCCGAACGCTTAACTCTAAGAGAACACGCGATGAAGAGAGAGAGAGAGAGAGAGATAGAGAGAGAAAGAGAGAAGGAGAGAGAGAGAGAGAGACAGAGATAATTGTACATTATTATCTAGGTATGTACTAATGTGTGTATGTATGTATGTGTGCGTGCGTGCGTGCGTGCATGCATGTATGCATGCATGTATGCGTATGTATGTATGTATGCACGTCTATATGTACATATGTTTGAGTGTCTGTAAGTCTGTATGCACTTGCGTACGTACGTATGTATGTAAAGTTGTATGCAGGTATGTATGTATGTATGTGTGTATGTATGCTTGCATGTGTACATGCAGATGTATATGTATGTGTGTACGCGTGTGCATGTGTATGCGTGCATGTGTGCGTGTGTGTATGTGTGCATGAGTGCATGTGTGCATGTGTGCATGTGTGCATGTGTGTATGTGTGTATGTATGCATGTATGTATGTATGTGCGTATGGTTGTGTATAGGTTTGTTTGTATGTATGTATGTATGTATGTATGTATGTATGTATGTATGTGTATGTATGTGTGTATGTATGTATGTATGTATGTATGTATGTATGTATGTATGTATGTATGTATGTATGTGTTCATGGGTGCATGCATGGATGCATGTATGTATGTGTAACTATGTATATATCTATATATAGAGAGAGGCAGAACGAACAAACAAATCCACCGACCCTGTCGGCGTGTGGAAGAGGCTGTTCCGTTTGACTCGTCGTCGTCGTCGTCGTGGTCGTTGTCGTCGTCGTCGTGGTCACGCGGAAACAAAGGCAAAAACAAGCAAAGCACAACTGGCCTCTGAGACTGCCAAGATGGGTCAATATTGTTTCCAAGACGTCCAGGCCCCAAGCGTCCACGAGAACCCAAGATGGCCCAACCTGCGCGAGAGCCCAAGGAAGCCTCATGACTGCCCAAGAGGCCCCCGATACGGCCCGAGCCCAAGATGGATCCAAGCTGAAGCCATTGAATTTCCGGTGATGCAACATATTCAGTACGCGTCCTCGCCCCTTTGGGCTTTCGACAGCCCAAGCCAGCCCAAAGGCCTGCACCATAGTCCAAAAACGTCCCCAGAAGCCCCCCAGAGGGCCCCGACGCGGGCCGAGGGCGCCCCAAGAGGGCACCGAGAGAGCCCCCAAGGCGGCCCCAAGAGGACCCCCAAGACGTAATTACCCGGAGCCCTCGAGGACGGCCCGAAAGCGCCCCGAGAGGGCCCCGACACGGCCCATTGGGGGCACCCAGAACTGCATCCGAAGGCCATCCTCCTCCTCCTCCTCCTCCTCCTCCTCCTCCTCCTCCTCCTCCTTGTTGTATGCCCCAAGAAGCTCCCATGATGGCCCTCACGGAGCCTCATCGGGCCCCCAGGGTGCCCTCAGGAGGCCTCCCAAGAGCCCCCCCAGCAAGCTCTCAGGAGGCCCCAAGAACCCTCCCTCCTCCTCCTCCCTCCTCCTCCTCCTCCTCCTCCCTGCTCCTCCTCCTCCTCCTCCTCCTCCTCCTCCTCCTCCTTCTCCTCCCTGCTCCTCCCGCTTCTCTCTCTGAGCCTCTCTCTCTTTTTCCCCCAATTGTCTCCCCAAGGATTTCCACAACGGCTCGGCGGAGCACATAACCGCACAAATTGGCAAGACTTCGGCCCAACGTTGGGTCACGTAGGCGTTTCCAAAAGGCAGCGGGCGGCGGTTGCTCGCCACAGGCGTCTTCGATATCTGGCACCTGGCCCGCTACAGAGGCCGCGAATCCAAACATCTTGTCATCGCGTGGGGACATATTTCAAGAGGAAAAGAAGCACACAGACACACTTAATCCTCGATTCCCCAGAAAATATGGGAAAATATGGGAAGTGGGGGGGGGGGAAGACAGAAACCCAGAAACTATTGGAAAATATGGGGAATCGGTTTCTTTGTGTGTATTTATTTGTGTCCTGGGGCCCCTTCAAGATTCTGCTTCCGCTGGCTCCCGCTGGCAAGGTCGACCTCGTCCTGCGTCGGCCACCCGCCGCCGACAGAAGGGCATGCGGGTCACTCGGTCCCCCCCCCCCCCCCCCCAAGGCGAGAGGCCGTCTCTGGAGCGCCCCACCTGGCACTTCGGTGTGCTCACCGCGCACGGAGTTGGAACACAGTGGACAAACAACACAGCACGAACACGAACTTTCGGAGATACTCTTTTTTTTCGGTCGCGGCCGCGAGACGACGGTCCGGCGGCAAGAGCAAAGTCCGGGACGCGAACTAGGCGAATTAGCCAAGACGGGCGCAAGCCGGCCGGCCCACTCATTCAGCAGCTGCGAAGCTGAGGGGGGTGGAGCTGACGGCGGAGGGCGCCCTGCAAGCTCGAGCACGTGCACAGGACAAAGTGTCTCGGCATTCAAAGCTTGCCATGGCGCAACCCAACTTTCGGAGATACGCGCAGACTCCTTGGGCCAGCACTGGACCCCGCCTCCCTGCTACGCCAAGCGCGCCAATCGTGTCAGATCCGACGGCGTGATGCTTCAATCTGCGGCCCCAGACGCTTCGGTCCCTTCCCGGGGAGCAGCTCTCGTCTTGGACCCACTCCCGATGCCCCCCCTGGGCTAGAGGACAATTTTCAGCATGGGAGAAGCGGGTGCCACATACGGCGATGGTGCCCGGGTCGTGAGCCTGGGGCGGCCAAGCTGGCGCGACGCGCGGATCACGTCGCGCGCTCTCGCGCCGCCCCCTAGGGGGGAGAAGGGAAGGACGAGGACCGACGAGGAGGACGAGGAGGAAGACTCGAGAACAGCGGGCCGCGAGCAGCTTCGCGGCCGTTGTGGCAGCCCTCGTGGCGCGCCCCGAGCCCCCCCCCCCGCCCAGCTGGCCCCCCCTTCCCGACCCGTCCCTCGACGGCCCCCCGAGGGCCTCCGGGCCGCGGGGGCCTCCCCGGCACACCACGGGCCGCACTGGGCCAGGCAGCGGCCCTCCGCCCCCGACCCGCTTTGGAAGAGGGAAAGGGAAAACGACCTCTCCTCCTCCTCAGAGGAGGGGGCGGAGGAGGAGGAGGAGGAGGAGGAGGAGGAGGAGGAGGAGGAGGAGGAGGAGGAGGAGGGAGGAGGAGGGCCGGGTCGTGGGCGCCGGCGCAGGCCCAGGAGAAGTCCGCGAGGAGCGCCGGCGTCGCTCGGGCCCACGCCGTGGCCTCCGCTTCGCCCGGCCCCCCCCGGGGACCCCCGCGCGGCGACATGCAGGAGGGACCTCTGGAGACCCAGACCCCCTCGAGTAATGAAAAAATCATGACGGGATGTTTTTCCCAATTTTCGGCCTCCGGGGGCCCTCACCGGGCCTCGGGAGCGTCAAAAAACGACTCAGGGTGCAAAGCCGGTCATGGGGAAAGGGTCCAGACCTCTGGGGGTCGACGTAATGAAAAAATCATTACGTCGGGGGTCTGGGTCTGGAGATCGGCTCCAGGAGGCCGCCGGGAGGCCACCGCCGGGGGGCCTCCCGTGAGCCCGCACCAGAGGCCACCCCGGCGACGGGTCGCTCTCGCGCGTGCCGCCCGCTTCCGCCGGCGGAGCCCCACATGTTCTGCTCCCGCCTGCCCCTCCCCGGCCTTGCGCCGAAGACGGGGCTCGCCGAAGGGCGAGGCCCTGCCCTGGATGGACACTACGAGGGCGAGGAGGAGGAGGAGGAGGAGGAGGAGGCGAGCGAGGAAGGAGAGGATGGCTTCTGGGATTCCAGGTTGGCCCCGCGCGTTCCCGCGTAGAGGGGCACAGGGTCAAGGAAGACGGAACACAGGCAGTCGCCAACGACTGAGAAGAGGAGGACGACGAGGAGCAGGAGGAGGAGGAGGGTGCTGACTGGGGAGTAGGAGGAGGAGGAGGAGGAGGAGGAGGAGGAGGAGGAGCAGGAGGAGCAGCAGGAGGAGGAGCAGGAGGAGGAGGAGGGTGCTGAGGGTGGTGACTAAATCGAAGGTGTCACCCCGATCGCTCAGCACAGCGGCCGCAACGCCGACGCCCAGGCGGGGCTATCACCCAGCCGTCCACCCAGCACCAGCCACGAAAGACCACCCCAAACCGCCAGGCCACCGAGGCCCAAGGCCCAACCCCAGACGGAATCCCACAGGGCACCCCCCCCAGAGGCCTAGGTGGACGACCCGAGGGAAGAGCCCCGCCCAGCCCCCATCACTCCTGAAGGTATTTCCCGCCCTCCTGGCCCAGCGCGGCGTCGGGCCAGAGGACGAGCGCAGGAGGAGGAGGAGGAGGAGGAGGAGGAGGAGGAGGAGGAGGAGGAGGAGGACGAGGAGGAGGACGAGGAGGAGGAGGGGTAGACAGAAGGCCGCGACGAGGCAAACACAAAGGGATGGGGAAGGCCAGGACCACCCCAAACGCCTCCCTCCTGGCCTTGGCGGCCAGCAGGCACACTGCACACTGCGCGCGCACAGCGCGCACACAACGCGGAGGGGCGCCGGGCCGCCCGCGGCACGCCGCGGCAGCCCGGCGGCGCGCGGAGAGCGCCGCGGCGCGCCGCGCGGAGCGCCGCGGGGCCGCCACGGCGGCGCTGTCAGGCGGCGTTGTTGCAGATCCACTCCACGGCGGCCTGCGGGGTCGGCGCGGGGCGCGGGGCGCCCCAGGAGGCCGCCGCCGCGGGCTCGGGGAGCTCTCCTCGCCGTCGTCCTCCCTGCTCCTCCTGCTCGTCGTCGTCGTCCTCCTGCGCCTCCGCCTCCTCCTCCTCCTCCTCGTCCTCCTCGTCCTCCTCTTCCTCCTCCTCCTCCTCCTCCTCCTCCTCCTCGTCCTCCTCCTACTCCTTCACCCTCCCTTTTCTGGACGGCTCTGCTGTAATAGTTGGTTTCCTCGTCCGTCGTCCCTCCTCATCAGCCTGTTGTTCGCACCCCTCCTCCACCACCGTCCCTCCTCGGCCTCCACATCCCCTTTCACCTCCTCCTCCTCCACCTTATCCTCCTTCTCCCCCCGTCCTCATCATCATCAGCATCAGCATCTTGCCCAGCATCGTCACCATCACCATCACCATCATCAGCATCATCAACACCACCACCATTAACATCATCACAATCATATTACCATTTTTAGCATCGTCATCGTCATCTTCATCCGTATCATCAAAACCGCCACAACGATCCTCATCAGCATCATCATCACCATCATCAGCAGCATCATCATGATCATCGCCACCACCATCATCATCAACTGTTTTTGCCCCGAGAGTTTTTTTACAAAACAACAGCACATGAACCGCGACAGAGATTGGCTTGCAGTGCACAACGTGGATGCCCGACGCAGTGGGAGAACCACGGCGACATACAAAACAGACCTCATGTACAATGTTCACACAGCCCGCAAAAAGGTGGAGGAAGGGAAGGGGGATGGAACGGACACGCCAAGGATACTCTTTTCGCCCCAGTTGCAAATTGAGCCCGCTCTATTAGCTGCTTCTGCCCCGGAACTCTGTCTACACAACAGCAGCACATGATACGCGATCGAGTTTGACCTGCAATGCACAACGTGGATGCTCGACGCCGTGGAAGAACCACGGCGAGATACAAGACAGACCTCCAAGATTAGGGGACCTATCCAAACATGAACCATCCTCAGAAGCACTTAAATTGAGCGGGCTCACCGGCTATTCATACAAGGGCGATTTTACACTGACAGGCAACTGCTCACAGAAGTCACAATCCTGGAATGTACTGAACAACTCGCTCACAAGAAAGACGTGGGTACGGGTTGGCACGCCTCGTCCAATTGACGCCGGAGGCGTCTCGCTTTGAAGCATGTGATGGGGTTCGCCAGTGAAGGAGCAGCAACCGCCACGGCCAGTATTTTTTCTTGCAAGCCTGTCGGGATCGGGCAGAAGCAAGGTGCGGAATCGAGCTGGCTTCTTCAAGCTTGCGCCCCAACCGCAGTAGTGTGTAATGATGTCCACCACTTGTGGCCACGCAAGGATACGTTTCGCACCAGGCCTGTGCCACATGTAGCTGCTGTGGAAACTCCCATAGAAGCGGGACGAGTGAACGTCTGCACTGACTCGAACAGCGCTATAGAAAAGCGCAGCGCCTTCTTCAATTTGTTTCTGAAGCCTGGCCGACGGCCCAGGAAGGCTAGCTGGGAATATCTTGGGCCCGATAGCGTTGGCGCCCCCTCGAGCAGTGGAGAAAATCGCGCATGGCACTGCCGCCTAAACGCCCGGACGATGGCCTGGCTGCACGAGCTTCAGGGCACGCCGCAAAACCGAAGCCCTGAAGAGATCACCCTCTGGCCCCTGCAAGTTGTCATACGCGCAGACATTGCAACGGCGGCGTCGCACGCGCTTGCCCCAGAACGTGGACCCTGAGAAGAATTCGATATATATATATATATATACACATATATATATGCCTATACGACCACCCTTCGGGTGATAAGGAGGTTCGGGGGGGGAACCAACGTCCCACTCAATCGGTCTCACTATCGGTCTCACTGTCGATCTCACGATCGATCTCACCATCGGTCTCGCTCGATCGATATCACTCGATCGATTTCACAATCGATCTCACTCGATCTATATCATTCGGTCGATCTCACAAGGGACCTGACTATCGATATCACAATCGTCATCACAATCGATCTCGCATTCGGTCTCACGATCGATATCACTATCGATATCACAATCGATCTCACAATCAACGTCATCATCGTCATCGACAACAACATCACCATCATCATCATCATCAACAGCATCATCGGGAGACAATCATCATCATTTCATCATCATCGTTAACATCATCATCATCATCCATCGGGGCACCATCATCATCAACAACAACATCATCATCGAGCATAACATCATCATCATTATCACAATCGGGGGGGCCATCATCGTCATCACCAGCATCATCACCATCATAATCATCATCATCACCAGGACAGCATAATCAGCATCATCACCATCATTATCAACATTATCGCCGGAGCACAATCATCATCATCATCATCATCATCATCATCATCATCATCATCTGCATCGCCATTTTATCATCATCATCAACAACAACATCGTCACCACCATAAGCATCATCGTCATGGGGACACCAGCATCGTCAACATCCTCATCAACATACTCATCATGATCACCATCATCATCGGGACACCGTCATCATCATCGATATCAGCAACATCATCATCATCGGGACATCATCATCATCATCTCATCATCATCATCACCACCGGGACACCATGATCACCACCATCAGCATCAGCAACATCACCATGATCAACATTCTTCCCATCAACATCATCGGGACACCATGATCATCACCATCACCATCATCACCATCATCACTGTCATCATCATCATCATCATCATCATCATCATCATCATCATCATCATCATCATCATCAACGTTATCATCATCGGGACACCAGCGGGACACCGGCAGGACACCGCGGGGCCCCAGCCGCCCGGAAGGGAGACATTTGGTCCGGCCGCGCCTCAGCCACAGGGGACACCAGCGGGACGCCGGCGGGACACCGCGGGGTCCCGGCCGCCCGGAAGGGAGACATTTGGTCCGGCCGCGCCTCAGCCACAGGAGACTTTCCTCTCGCCCGCCCACGCAGCTTCGCCTCGCCCGCACGCGCGGCACGCACGAACACGAAACCGAAATCGATTTCCCGGTAGGGGGGCTCTCCGTTCCACTTCGATCTCACCCTCTCACCTCCGATCAATATAAAATCTGCTAGTCCCAGAGAGGGCCCGCTGCTCTGCGCGGACGTTGGCGCTGAGGTACCGCGCGAGCATGTCGGGCAACGCGCACATGGTCGACGCGCAAAGCTGGCGCTGGCGGAGGCTCAGGTGGCTCCACGTCTCCTGCAGCAGCTTCGGCTTCACGTTGCGGCGCGCGCTGCCGAGGGTCTGTCCGCCTCTTTTCGCCGCGACGTCTGGGTTGACGCGGCTCGCCAATTCTTCGAAGGTGCTGCGAGGCCCCGACGCCCGCGCCGACATGAGCCACGTGGCCTTGCTTGGCTGGGAGCACGCGTCCGCCATCATGATCCACGCGAGGTCCGCCTCGGAGCCGAACGGCAGGTTGGTCGCCGCCATCTCGGCCGCGCTCAGCGTCGCGAGCCTGCCCAAGGCAGGGGCCGGCGCGACTGGGCGCGCGCCTGTCGCCCCCGGCCGCGGGGGGCGCGGCCCGCCCGCGGCAGCGGCGGCCGGCCTTGAACGCGGCGGCCCAGAGGGAGGGCGCCCTTCCCCCTAGGTGGAGGCGGCCGAAGAACTGCACGACGCGGGCGTCGAGCGCGCGGGTTGGCGCGCCCAGGCTCGAGACGCCGCGTGAGATCATAGAGGCTGACGATAACTGGTTGCGCAGCTGGTGAGGGCCCGCTGCTGCGCGGCCGCCCGCGCGGCGATGCCCGCCCACCTGTCGCGCGGTCTCGCGCAGCGGGCCAAGGTTCGGCCGCCGCGCGCGCGCGCCTGATTCCGCCCGCCGGCTTTGAGCGGCGCCGCCCCCCCGGCGGCGCGCGCGCCGAGAGAGGCATCTCCCAGCCGACTCGGCAGCTTGCCCATCGCGAGGGGCGGAGCCGCCGGCGCCCCGGCGCGCCGAGGGGGCTGCGGCCTCCGCGGGCGCGGGCCGCGCGGCTGCGCGCGCCGCGCCAGGGCTTCCCTCGCGGCGGCCAGGCCGGCGCTCGGCCGCCTCGGCTGCCGCGGCCGCGCTCGCCGCGAGGCGGTCGGCTCGGGCGGCGCCGCGACCAGGGCCCGCGCCGTCGGCGGTCTGAGCGCCGCCCGCGCGAGGCCCCCCTGGCGCGGCGAGCGCGACTGGAAGCGGCCGGCCCCGCTGTCGCAGCCAGCGGCTCAGCTCATCAGCGGGGTCGAGCTCGGAGGGCGCCCGTCGATGCGACGCAACGGCGCCAGTCAGCAGTAGGAGAGCCGACAATCGGCGCATAATGTCGAGCCGCCTGGAATCTCGAGCCCTGCCTTTGGACGATGCAAAAGTGGGCCCAAGACTGTCACCGAGGAAGAAAACACGGGAACACGCTTGCCCCGCCGTCGAGGATCACGCAGATGAGCTCGAATTGCCTCGGCCACTCTTCGGGCCTTTTGCGGCGCGTGGCCTCGGAGTCTCTCGTGGCTCCGCGGCGCTGGAGAACCAGATTGGAAGCCTTCGGGCCGGGGGGGGGTCTCGGGGAAGTTCGCATCGAGGTCGCCCGCTCCGCGCGCGTCGTCGATCGATCGCGCGCCCCCGCTCTCGCCCTCCAGATCCCCCGCGCCCTTGCCCTGTCGCGCGACCAGCGACGCCCGTCATCGCCCGAGGGCGCGCGTCGATGGCGCCGCCTCTCCTGCAGCCCCCCCGCGCGCTAAATCAAGTCGATCGACGCGTCGGCAATGACAGCGGCGCGGCAGGTCTCGCGCGCGCGTCCGTAGCGGCAACGGTCGGGGGCCACTCGGCATCGAGACGACGATCGGATGAGAATGAGGATGTCCCGGAAAATTTCAGCTCGCGCCTTGGAACCCCACTGAGGACCCTACTTGACGAAGCCCGCGCGCATGCAGGCGCACGCCGCGCAGAAGGATGCAAGCGACTCGCGGCGAACCAGGGCGCAGAATGC